CTTGGGGCTCAGCCTTTGGACACGAGTCCGCTGGGTTTGTGCCAACACAATAAACATTGCTTCCTGCTATTCTGCCTCAGAGACTCCTATCTCAGCTCATTATTAAAGTCCCTGCAACATTATTCGGGGACTTGTCCGGGATTATAGGGGACAGTGAGTTATCACCTCTCTTGTCACCAGGGTGCATCCCCCGGACCGCTGGGAGGAGATCCCACCAGGTGCCAATGACAGCTTGATTCGGAAGAGGGATTCATCCTCCCAGCGAGTCAGGGTGAGGGCCTCGGATGCACAAAGGAACCCACTGAGGCACAGGAACCAACTTAGGAGCACTGCTCTTCATATTGGTAAGAACCCGAGTTCGAATTCAGGCCTGCCTCAGGAGGCAGAAGGGGAGTCTGATCACCTCCAAAAGACTGTGTCTCTGGTTTAGGGAGTGGGGTGGAAGTATTGTGACATGTGAGAATATATAAAAGTGTGAGCCTGAGGTGCAGCCCAGCTGCGAAATGAGTGAGGGGTCCTGATTCTTGGTTCGTGGTGAACTCATAAGGTCAAGGGTGAGCCCCAACGGGACTTCCGGTCCTGGATTTATACAGACTCACTGGGGCCAAAGAGTCTCCTAAGTCCCCACTTAGGAGATGAACAAAGTGAGTACTTTTCCAAAACCCCTCCCCCTCTGTGTCTGTCTTGCCATCTGGTAACAGGAGGAGATGGGTGGAAATCAGAGTAAAAAATACTCCCTTGAAATGTATGATTAATAACTTTAAAAAGGGATTTAATGAAGACTTTGTAGTTAACTCCTAACAAGCTAAACATCCTTTGTAAAGTAGATTGGCCTGCTTTTGGTGTAGGATGGCCCCCGGAAGGGTCACTAGAAAAAACTGTGATTAATAAAGTTTACAGAATAATAATAATAACAATAAACAAACAAAACCCTAAGACCCAGGAGAATGAGAAAAGCCAAGAGGCTAAAACTGGTCTTCAAAAACCAGACTCTGTTATTTATTTAAATTCAGGTACCAATTTATTGGGCAGACTAAGGAAAAATCAGTCTTTCAGTCTTGACGGGTAGCTTTGGTGCCCCAGTTTGCACATCTTCACCCAAAATGGGCATCCTGAAGGAGGACTGAGGCTCAGCACTAACTGAGCTCTTACAAAAATTAACACATGAACACATGAAGGAAGGACTTGCACTGATGCATAAGATCCGGTCTGACTTGAAAGAAAAGGAATGTTGCAAAAGGATTGTGAATATAGAGAGGGGAAATGGAGGAATGGAAACAAAATTGGGATTAGGTCTTCATAGATAAAGTAAGGAGAGAGAGAGGAGGAAAAAAGAAAAGAGAGAAAAAATGAAATGTCATAAAATGTTTGCAAACAAAAAAGGATGAAAGGTTATGTCAGTTGTGTCTTAAAAACAAAAAGTAAATAGAAAACAATCTAGAATTATTAAAATAGGACAGAAATACTGAACTTCTGGCACTTTTACTTGTAGGGAGCATAAATAGGGAGAACCTAATTAGAAGGATAAGAAAAAGAGCAACTTTGACTGTTGCTACTAAAACAAACAAACTGTTCCAAAAGGTTGATGCAGTGGGCTTGGTCTACTATTGAGACACTCATGAGATGCTTGTTTCCCTTGCTAATGGCTGGTCAGATTATGCATCCATCTAATGGTATGCTCACAGTGTGTGTATGTATAAAAACATCGTGAAAACAGTTCTTATTATACAGTCAATGTAAAAATTATTATTCTGCTCTATTACTACTTTAAAGAAAACAGGTTATTAAACTTATTTCAATCAGTTCTCACTAAGATGCCGGCATTCAGCAGTTAACACTCCAGCTCAGACCAGAGGAGAGAGAAAAAAAAGAAAAGAAAAGGGGGGTCACAGCCTGAAACAAAATTGGGTATGTTGAAATTTGGGTAGTTAAAGAAATGACATCGCATGTTTCATTCTGCCATAAATACAATCTGGAATTAACTCCTCTCTTATAATACATGGGTCTATTAACAAATGAGCTTTCTATAAATTGCTTTTATACAAAAATAATTTCAAGATTGCTTTGTTTTTTCATGCAAATGTAAGGCTCCAAGTTAAAAGGTTTTATGAGTTATTTTCGACAAAAAACAAAGATATATAAAAGATATTAAGGATATGTTTTTTAAAAAATAAAAGGTAAAAATTTAATAATACTTTTAGATTAAAAAAAGGATAATGACAAGCTTCCCCAGAGGGTACATATTAAGTTGTTACAAAGATATAGATGATTAAGTTAACTAAAATCTAAGAGTTACATTAAAGGTTTTGTAAGGTCAAAATTTAATGTACTGATGTTAAACTAAAACTTAATTCTCTAAGCTCATAACAACAAGGTTATCTTCAAAATAATGTATTGTTCTTAATAACATTTACAAAAAATTGTCTGAAAATGGTTTTTGTTTTGTCAAGATAACTGTCAAAAATTTTTGGTGCTACAGGTTAATCCACAAATTTGTAAAGACAACAAGATTTTATTAAAACACCAAAAAAAGACAAGAGGCAGCTGAGCACAGGGAGTGCTGCTGCACTGATATAAAGATTGAGACAGATTTACTTATGTAAAACAAAGCCAAAGTACACCCTCCAGATATGATAAATAAATAAATAAATAAATAAATAACTCAAAAAGGAGCACTACACTGAAAGTCAAGACCTCCAATTTTTATTGGACTTAACAGAGTGGAGGTGTTAGTCCTAATCTTTCCACATGTTGTATGGAGGGAATTTTTGCCCAGGGATAGCCAGATTGGGCCTACTATTTTAGGGGGGCTCCATTGACTACAGGTTGGTGGGATCCTGCTTTATGTCATGAGCCATATGTAAATGTCAACAATCTGGGATGTGATCCCTTATCAACATCTGAGCCATGATCTTGGCCACTGTATTTCCTAACTCCACACTTAGTCCTCATAAATATTGTGTTCTCTTGTGATTTTTGTTGGGGTTTTAATTACTTAGGTAACTGAGTCATGTTCATTTAAGAGTTGGTTTATGTTGGGGTTAACAATAAAGACAGCCATGTTAGGACTAGACCCCCTCCCCCTTGCAGATGGCTTTCCTTTATCTCCCTTAATAGATGCCAAGGACAGTTGGACAGACAGTGACCTAACTACAACTTATCTTTCTTGGTTGCCCAGCAACAATATCCCTTAGTGACCTTCCTGGTACTTTTCCACTAGCCCCCTATGTCTAGCACAAGCCTGTATATGGCAGTGGGCTCTGGCTCTCTTACTGGGCTCTCCCTCCACAGGGTTCCTGCCTAAACAATAAACCCTAAACTGGTGTTTAAGCCATCTCTCTGCCTCTTCCATAGCTCTTATTTTCTAACAGTTTATATAAAACTTTCTAGATAACCTCATGGTTAAACAACTGTTGTCTTGGGTGATTCTAATACAGTTGGTATTCTACATGTGTCTGTGACTGGGCTATTTGGGGTCACTGACCCTGTTCTTCTCCCCCAACTGATAAAAATCTAGGGTTTTACTTCAAGAACAACTAAACTAATATGTATATATAACCTCTATAAAGTTGTGATGCTGTTGCTGGTTCCTATAGTTATGTTTTTCAAGTATATCAAGACTTCTAAAATACAAAATTTAGATACACATGGTAAAAAAAAAGTTAGTGGTGCTGATATACTGTTCTGTCAGTTGCTAAAATTTTAATCATGACTCTTAAGTTTTTGTCATTGCAGTTCTGATCCTTCTGGGACATTTACAATCAAGTCCATAACTCTAATAACTATTTATTTGTCAACCAGGTTAGCTTTTTAAACATCTGCTTTTGTTAGATTTTGCTTTGTATTGTCCTTATCTAGAAGCCTGCTGTCTAAAAGCCACTCCTTCTAAGCCTCTTTGTTGCTTAAGGGTCTAATTGGCACTGACTCCCACCTAATCTGTTTGTTATTTCTCCCCCCATCCCCACCGTGGGACCAAAACCAACCAAACAAAAAAAAATCCAGGAAAGAGCAACCAATCAAGAAAGATCTTCAGTCTACATCCCTACCACTCTGAACACACCCTATCTCATCTGATCTTGGATGCTAAGCAGGGTCAGGCCTGGTTAGTACTTGGATAAAATATAGATCCTTCAAAAGAGAGTGCTCAGAGACAAGCAGTTTGGAGACAAAGAGGGGAATGCCATCAAAGTTCCAATGGAGTCACTGGTGCCAGATCTCTCAAAAATAACCAAGGCCGAGAGGATTAAAGAAATGGTTCTTATGCATGTATGGCCATCTGGCATTAAAGCCCTTCTAGATACAAACTCGTATTTTTAGATAGGGTCTTCTACTTAGAGACAAAATAACTATTTTTACTGGCTCTAAACATGTCCTTTGATACTTAAAGATGGTGGGTTTAACTTTTTTTTAAAAAACGCATTTTCTTGGACATATATACTGATAATATATTGTTGCCATGGTAATTCTACTCAGTAAAAAAAAAAGACATTGTCTAGATAAAAAAATATATAAAACGTCCACCCACTAAAACCCCATTGGAGATGCCCTTTTCTTTGTTATTTTGTCTACTCCCGCAGCAGTTAAAGTAGCAAAGATTGCTCCTTGGATCCACCACAGGCATATCAAGCCAGTTTCTCTCAAATGGGAGTGCA